TGATGAAGCTCATGTTGTAAAAGCATAATTAGCAGTTCTGAGCGAAATAATTTATTATTTATCGCCTCCGGATTATATATTATGATTAAGATTGCTTGTTAGATTAAACAGCGATTTAAAAAGCAATTTTTTAAATGCACTCCTGCTATCCTTACCTCTTTGATGGCTAGTTTCGCCTTGCAGCTAAAGATTGAAGTCGCATTAAACCCATAAAACAAACCCTGACTATCAAAATGAACTATAAACTTTGACGTAGTCTGACTAAACACACTAAGAGTGTCTAGTTATTTAACGTTTTTCCATTTTTTTTTCTATCAACAGTTGAATTTTGTATGTATTTTGTTGAGGGGCACAAGTTTGTAAATTATTAGTTTGTAAAGGCTACCTTTTCACAATAAAGATATATTTTACAGCCGAAATCACCTGAATGATGCTTAGTACTAACTCATTCTCAATATGCTCAACACTCTGCTATAGTACGCGCTAATAATTCTCGAGGCCTGTTTAACATAACAGAGACATTTCTCTCTTTTAAACCACGAGAATCGTTGTAGAATTTTAACAGAGATTCAACAGTCTATGAAAGGATATAGCAACATTTTCATATAATATTTTTAAGTGGGTGCATAGGTCCAGTCATTCGCAGCATACCCTTTTGTCGGGCTTCCTGTCGCTCCCAAAAGAAGGACAGGAAGCCCGACAAAAGGGTAGGCTGCGAAGGAGACTAGCATAGGTCCTGCACATTTAGGTTATGATACTAAATTTTTTTCCAGTTTATTTTAACTTTTTACACACATACAAGGAAATATCGACTATTAAAAAACATTATTGTGAGATTTGGATAAACAATAAACGAACATAGACTCGGAAGACCATTACATCATTCTCAGTTAAGCTTAAAAATAAAACACCTTTGTTTTGAAATCATCTTTGGTGCGTAAATCCTTTGTTTCGTGTTCCTAAGCAACGTCTACACAAATTGCAGTCATATTTGAATTCATTTCATCATTATTTCATGCCGAGTGAATGTGTTCAGCAAGCTGCTGCATGCCATATTTGTAAAGCGTGATTTAGGAAGCATAATGAAGGTCCACATCGTACTGCTTGTTATTTATTGCATTTCTTTTGCTGAAGGTAAGAATATTAAACTTTAAACATTATAACACTCTATCTATTGTCGAGTGAGTGTATTACATGTAAATAAAAATGTACCAAAAGCATTTCAAAACGCAGTGTACGTTGCGAATGATGCAAAATATGGAGAAGTCAGTTAGCATTTTAGCTAGTAGGTTTTAGTATGTGTGAAATAGAACGTTATAGCTCTGATAGCTCTTTAGACTGCTGGAATTATTTCATCTCCTTCACACAAATAATTCTTACACGAACACAATATTCACAGCAACATTGCATATATTGATAAGCTTTCATATTTCGGGAAAACCAGCAAATACGTTTGCAAACCAACAATAACAACGCGAAAAATTACTAAATTTTCATTCAAAGTGAAGTTCGTGAATCGTTCGTTGTCCTACGTAATTGTTACTAGGGTAAATATTTGAAAACTTTAAATTTTCGTTCGATTACATAACAATTATATTCACCGATGTAAAAAGTTTTCACCTGTTTCAGTGTCAGGTGTTATAATTCCAAATGGCTTTAAGTTGATAAACGATGGTGTTTACTTGAGTTTTAACTATATAATTTCGCTATTTCACAAGATTTAGAACAACTTTTCAGACATATTGGGTGTTTTAGCTTTCGAAGTGAGGTGAGGTTTAGTTTTTAGTGACATTTGTTGTTTTTTCTTCATGTTTTTTTGGTTTTTAGTTTGTTCTTCGATCTCTTCGTAGTTGATAGAAAGAGAATATTACATGATTGTGCGAACATAGGATTTTATCCGGCTACGAGTGTTGAAAAGATCTCCAACACGAGTAAGCGTAGCGACTTTCAGCACCTAAAGATAAAATTTGTACTCCAAGCGACCCCATGTAATATTCTTTTTATTCTGTTTCCATGAGCAGATACAACTACTTCGTTGCTATATGCAAACTAACAATATTTTCCTGCTAATTGAGTTAATGAAAGAGAAGAAAAAGGTTAAAGTAATTTGGTCTCGTAAATAAGAAT